TTAGACGTCAAAGTTTCAATTGAAGGTAACGGTTTATGCACTAGTGTGTATTACAAACCTACAGACTCGCATAATTACTTGTTATATTCGTCTTCTCATCCATCTCACGTTAAGAATTCCATTCCTTTTTCTCAGTTTCTAAGACTTCGTCGTTTATGTAGTAATGACTCTGATTTTCACCACAAATCAGAGTCAATGTGCCAGTTCTTCGATACGTGCACCTCCGTTAATGTAATCTATTGCATAACTTGCACTTATTGCAAAAAGATATACATCGGCGAAACAGGCAGAAGACTAGGTGACCGATTCCGAGAACACCTTCGAGACGTGGAAAGGAATGACAAGGACACATCGAAACCAGTCGCTAGACATTTTAATTTACCTAATCATTCTAAGCAACATATGGCAATCTGCGGTCTTTCCTTGCACTTAGGTGGCACGGAAAGCCGTAAAAATCTTGAACAAAAGCTCATCTTTCAAACCGGCAGTCTAAATCCCACAGGGATCAATGAACGCTTTTCATTCCACTAATTTATTCATGTTTTTCTCGTTGCCATGCACCCACCAATAACGTAGCTCCATTTTCTGCCTTTAAAAGCACACACAACCCACAATTCCTCTATTCGCTCCGACGAAGGGCTAACGCTCGAAACGTCAGCTTTTGTAATCATTACGGTGGCCAATTTACCATTTCAATTTTGTTGATATATCCAAATTATTTCGTTACTCCCACCGACGCAGCCCCAAACAGTTTCTTTCGAAACTATCAGCCTTTATTCTTTTAGTATAAGGCGGTGTGGATGACGAGTAGAAAAAATGTTGATAATCTCATCAATGTCAATCGCTCTGCCATAGTGGATGTTCATCATCGCCAGACCTGACTGTCTCTCTGTAGTCATTGTACTTCTTAAGTACGTCTTCAGGCGTTTTAAAGTGCTAAATGACCTTTCGTACTCCGCGGAAGTAACAGGTAAAGTGCAAAGAATGCGAAGAAGGACGTTAATATTAGGAAAGAAAATAGGGTCGCATTCTCTAAACTAATGTGGCTGAGGCATTATCTGGAAGACTCGATTTGTCAGCCACTTTTGACCATTTATGACGCCAACAGACAAGCTCAACGTCAACGACATCGGGTGATACCAAATCATCTCGATAAAACTGAATTGCTGCATCAATTGTGGTGTCACTTGAACTGACCAATACTTCAGGTACCAAACACATCAGGTTGTAGACATTCATCTGAATTTCACTGAAGTACGTGTCCATTTGGACTATAAGGTGGTCCATCAGTGGAAGGCACGGTGAACATTGAAAGTACTGAACAGGTGTGGCAGCTGGAGCGTTATCATGATGCCGCTGTCTGTTGGCAATTCTTGGAAGTGCGGGCTCAACATCGACGTCTTTGCCTAGTTCAACGCTTGCTTCGTACCACCGATTGAAGTGAACCTCGATCTGCTCTCTGAAAGCTTTCAGATCTGATTTCACAGAGCTAACTTGGGTGTAAACCATATAACTGTCACTGTCGCGTTTCTGCAGTTATATGCTTAGTGGTTTCAGAACAGACAAACACTTCATAACTGTGATCATCGTTACTATGAACTGGAACTGAGTTACGGCTGCCAGAAAACCGTTCGCTTTTGTGCGCGTTTCCTGGTCTCATTTCCAGGATCCGTACTCGTCAAGGTAAACACGCTCATTTGCCATTACTTCTAATTTCTTGAAAATTGCTCTGAAAAGGCTGTTAAATACCTCGAATGCCTCGTGCCTCTCCACTCAGCGGGTGCGACAAAGACTAATTAGGGTGGTCCGGCGTGTGTTAGAGCATATGTTGTTGATAACCGCCGCTAACAGCTCGTGCCTTTTCGGTGAGAACTTGAAAAAAGAACATATTTCATTAAGTGTTCCTATCATGTTTCTTATCATTGGAATATCACAGGAACGGTACAATAGTAAGATTCAGGCAGTGTACATTACAGTGCGTATAGACTGCTTTGGGGCTCCTTTGTCTGTTAATGCTTGCGTACCTCTTGCAGCCGAGGACATACTAGATGCTCCATCATATCCTTGTCCTCTGCAATTTTTCACATCTAATGACCAGGTTTGGAGCGCCTCGAGGACGTTGTGGCCACAGCTTCACCTGTCGTCCGTGCCAAACTTACAAATCCAAGAAATTATTCAGGTATACTATAAGTTTCATCGACAAATCGATTTGATATGCAAAGCTGTTCAGTATTCGAAACGTTAGTTGTTTCATCGGCGAGAATCGTGAAGAAAGGTGCATACTCTGGAATTTCACTAATAACTTAGTTCCTCAAATACTCCATCGTTATCTCTATTATGTCATTCTGAATAGTAGCAGACGTATAAATAGCATTTCTTGCGCACTCGCGTAAGTGTTTCGCAATAATCTCATTTCCTCCTCCTGCACGGAAGTCAAGAAGTGCAAAAAAATTTCCTCGATTCTTGCTATTGTTATCCGTACTAGATTCCATATGACCACGAAGTGCAATATTTTGTTTTCCCCAAAATATTACACTTAGCTTGATACAATGCTTCTTAGGAGAGGGTCTGAATGGGGGTACTTCGTTGACACTAAACACTTATTTTTTCGGCTACATAACATTAAACAGTTAATTTTTAGCCATTTTAACACTAACATTATAAAATTCACTGTAACATTATTTTTTTGCCCATAAACAGACAAATCATGGCTAAAAGGGGAAATATCTATGTTGGGCCTATGTTTATTGTATCAAAGAGGTTTTTTGGCCAATTTCCAACAATTAGAGATTATTTCAAGACTTCCGAAGTGTGAGGAAGATATCCGAAAGCTGCCGGAGATTTCCGAAGGCTGCCGAACATATCCGAACATCGCCGAAGATGTCCAAAGACTGCCGAGGATGTCCACTGAGACTGCCAAAGATGTCCACAGACTTATGACCGACGATATCTGAAGACTATACCGGAAATTTGGCTTGTATAACTCATAACAGTTTTATTCTTAAAGCGCTTTTTTAGCGAGGATACACTAACCGTGACCACTTAGAGAGAATATATCAATAACAAATCAGATTACGATATTCAAATCAAACAGCCAATGGGATAGAACATCGAAATAAACAGTAAAATTAAGTAAACGTACGGATTGTCATCCGTTGTATGAATACGTCAATATGATTGGTTAGCTTTGTGAGATGGTCCCATTTGGGGTATCTGCACTGTAAACAAAAAGAGATAAAGTTAACATAAATAAATGTTTAAATTTGACTAGCAATGAATGCAATAACAGAATATGTCTTTTACCAATAATATCGGCTACAGTACTCACAATGTATAAAAGTCAACAAAAATGACAGACATGTCACTGCATCCTGGCTAGAAACATTTAAATATATTCCATACCTGAATAGTCCTGATTTTCCTGATAGTCCCAGATGTTTCTAGAGATTAAGGCGGAAATGAGCGCGGATGGCGCGACCAAATCTGCTGAACGTTATATCTATATCATTGTCCGCATCGCTCTCCGAGTCGGCGTCGAATTCATCCTCTTGCTCGGGGAGGTCTGTCACGTCACCAACTGCGACAACTCCGAGCATGCAAAGGTGATTCTCTGTAACTTCGTCTATAGCTCGTGGAATATTTGTATCCTAGTCGACTCGTTCTTCATTGCCTGTCCCTGGATTGTCTTGAACATTCTCTTGGAATGTTACTCTAGTACACGATGACGCACTGGAATATACAGCTGACGGCAGGGCTCTCGCTTTGTCCTTTGTTGTTTCGCTTCTTACCGTCCTTTGCGTAACAGATCAATGCCTGTCAACCAATTCCTTCATGGCTGCCTCAATGTTGGGATCAACGTTACCAGCTGGAGGAGATTTCATCAAATCTACATCCCGTAACTCCGTACTGGATTTAGGCACCGATTAACAATAAGAATTCTCATGTGTGAACTACTTCGCACCCCACCTCGTTGTACTCTTTAAAGATTCCTTTGAAATTGTTCCAAAGTCTTTAGCACACTGAAGAGAATTGAAAGTCTCGGTTTTTGAAGTGGGCGACTGCATAAAGGTTCTTCACCTGAGTTGTTAGCAACATACGCAGGTCAATGTCACTAAGATACTCCTCGTTTACATTCTTAACGTTATCTCGTAGCTGTTCCATACCCCGTTCCAGAAGCACCAATAGGGACTTTAAGATTGTGGACTACGGTTGGCTATGGTGGGTGATTACCGTCATAATTCAGTTTTTGATTTTCTGACATATTATTACATTTTGCATAGTAATGAATTTTTTGTCTGTTTGAATTTTATGTTGGTTTCATCAATTTTCTGACAGAACTCAATTTTTCGTCTAATCAAATTTTCGGATAACCTAAATTTTCTGTTGATTGGAATTTTCGGTCCGTGTCAGGTTTCGGGGAACTTTTCGAATTTTCCGACTATCTACTGCGAGGATCGTGCATCATATGTAGTTTAGAATACTTCACATCTCCGATTCGTTTCTGGTGAATTTTCTGCCAGTAGTTCTAATTTTTCGGACGCATTCAATTTTCTGCTACAACTTTTTCTCCAGTTGGCCTGTTGACTACGAGAAACCAGATCGAGGTAATGTTATTGTTGATCCAAGATGGCGGATAGAGTGATGGCGCTTTCTCAAGAAGAGCTGCAATCGTTCAGATACTTGCGAGAGCTTTTACTTAATATTATTCGGGAAATTGAAGGAGGAGGGCTTGACCCAAATATAGTTGGACGCCTTTCACTTTAGGCTGGATTGGCTGCATGGTTTAATAGCTCGTCTTGTTCTAGCCTGCGAACAGGCTCCCGGCTTGGAGGAGCACAACGGCGCGAAGCAGGGGTAAGGGAACCTGCACGCGTCTTGCTAAATCGCGTTTACCTCCCACAAGAACCGCGCAGAGAACTTATCTTGTTAACTGTCAAATGTCAACCAATCAGCGCGCGCCGTAAGTCAAAATCCAAAACAGAAAACAAACAAACGAATAGGCTCCCGGCGAGCAAGCGCCATGTCTCACGGAGGCATTTTGAACAGCAACTGTTTAATAATGACACTTTGAGTTTTTTTCATCTGCAGTCCCCGTGATTGCAAGTATTGGCGTCCCTTAAAAAGATAAAACGAATAAATTCAACGTAATCAAAGTAAAGAATGACTACAGCGTCTTGGTCAGGAAATCGAGTAATGCAATCGAAAGACTCCAAAAATAAGTAAACAGGTACGACAACACAGACTTAAGCTTATCGGTGAATGACCATAGAACTTGACTCTCCTTGTTTACAAAAGGATCTGATCTGCGACAATTTCCCAAACGCCTCACGGAAAGCAACATTTGCACCGAGTTTTGCCTCACACCTGTTAACAATCATTGAACAAGTGAGTAACAATCTAGTTAGAAGTAAACCCAATAGGATTCGTCAGAAACATAATACCTTTTTCCAGTCCACATCTCAACAGCATGGGACTCATCCACTACAACTGCGGCCAATTTTCCGTCAAGAGAAGAGCAGTTATCCTTCTAAATGTCGAGGAATCGTTTCTCCATAACTGTCTCAGCCGAACCGAAGATTAGCTGAAATTTTGCGGCACGCACCTCGTCTTCCGAGATATCCTCTGTGGAAGCCGCCGGGATACCCATACTTCCGGCCTTGGCAATTTGGTCTTCAGTGATGCTTTTCAAAGGACAAATAATCAACACAGTTTGCCGCTCTTCTCCTTCAATAATAATAATAATAGTGATAATAATAATATTAATAATAATAATAATTATAATAATAATTATAATAATAATAATAATTATAATAATAATAATAATTATAATAATAAT